CAAAATAAGCACTATTTTTTAAAAAATAATCAGTGTTTGATAATCCTAATATCTGAAAACTTTGTAATCTTTTTGCTATTATTTTCTCTTTATCCTTACTCTTACTGCTCTCTCACACATCTGATTATATTTAATTGTGTGCTGATCACTGCCTTGAAAAATTATTCCTGAGAATTTTCTGGAGCTAAGAAAGACAATGCCTTCCTCCAGAGAGAAGCTACATTTGTCTCCGCCATCTACCTTGTAGTATCACCCATTCCGAAACCATTTTAAACTAGGGATTCCTTGGATGACTCAATAATGCAAATTTGAACTGAAAATCCATGTGAAAGTCTTCACCATGGTCAAGCTATCTGAAAGATAGATAGGTTTTGTTTTCTTTTGTTTCTGCTCTGCTAAGCACCAAGGCAACTCTCCCCATGGTGCCCTACGTGGGGAAGGGGAAACAATTTTCCTTCTGATTTACAGTTATTCTAAGACTGTAGCCGGTGGAGGAGGATCTCCTTTCATCTCCCTACCACAGACAAGGTTTTGATTTGTTTCAGCTTTGATTTATCTTCTTCTCACCCCACAAGCTATTAAAACTTCACTTGATTTTTGATTTGGCTTTGATTTCACTTTCTCTCCCCACAAAGCTATCAAAACTCAATTTTGTCAGAATTTGGTCTCAGACAAAAGTAGATGCTGTGCTATGCTTACTTTTCTGGTTTCTTGCTCTTTCTTAGCTTTTGGCTTAGAAATATCATTAATATTCACTAATTTCTAATTTTCAAAATAAACAATAAAATATTCTTATTCAATCCAGCAATTCCACTTCCGGGTATATGTCCAAAATATTAAAAGCAAGGACTCAAACAAAAAGAAAAAAAAAAAAGGATTCAAACAGATATTTGTATACTCATGTTCAAAGCAGCATTATTCACAATAGCCAAAAGGTGGCTATTCATATATTCACCCAGGGATCAATGAATAAACAAAATGTGGTCTCTACATAGAATGGAATATTATTCAATCTTAAAAAGGGAATGTTGACACATGCTATAATATGGATGAACCTTGACGACATCATGCTAAGTGAAATAACCCATTCACAAAAGGATAAATACTGTATGATTTTGCTTATACGAGATACCTAGAGTAGTCAAATTCATGGAGACACAAAGTAGATTGGTGGTTGCCAAGGAATGGGAAGAAGGAAGAATGGGTCCTTATTGTTTAATGGGTATGGAGTTTCAGTTTAGGAAGATGAAAACAGCTCTGGAGACGGATGATGGTGATTGCTGAACAACAATGTGAATGTACTTAATGCACTAAATGTAAAAATGGTTAAAATGGTGAATTCTATAGTATGTACATTTTATCAGGATTTTAAAAGTTCTTATTCAAATGATTAATTTTCTTACCTTCACATTTACTTAAATACATAAAATAGTATTTATATGCTTAATAGGGATATCTTCAGAAAGTGTTTTCTAATTGTCAAGTTTGAGTAACATTAACTAAGCCCTTACTCTTGAAAACCTTTGAATCTTAAAGATGTTTTCTTCATATATAATTACATGTGAAGAAAAAAATAAAAACAATGTTGGAAAAACACAAAGATATAAGAAATAAAACAAGGCTTCATTTAACATTTTACTCCCAGGAGCAAAAGGCTCATAAATAGATAAATTTCACCTTCCTTCAATACAGATATTTTTAAAATAAAACTTTTTCATTATTACTATAATATAAAATTGTGTTTCCAAGTAATTTTCAAAATCTATGGTAATATTCTTAAGTGTGAGTACTATAAAATAATCTATTAAATTTACAGAATTTCACTATTATGTGCTTGTTTATTTTACAAAAAGTTCAATTACAGAATACTTTTAAATTCTTAATTAGTTTACAGATATCAATTAAGCACTTTCTGCAATATAGTTAAGGGGTTAAACAAAAAAAGGAAACAACTTAGAAACCACAAAACATCATTCCCCGGGGGTGGGCTGCTCATGTTATGAAAAAAGGAGGAGGGAAGGGAAGGGAAATGAAGGGAAGAGGCAATGTTTGGTCGATGTCTATCCAAACCTGTACCTAACTCCCACAGCTTCCTTTCCCACTCCTGACGTGGCTACAAATACTTAATAAACAACTTTATCTACACACATCTTAATCTCTGTCATGCCACTCTAAAAGAACAAGTGTTTTTCCACCTTATATAAAATCTCTTCGCAACTTTAGGATATATTTCTACATTTACCATCTCTAGCTCTTTCCCTTCATTTTAATAAAGATACTTACATTCCTTCTATTTTAAAAACAAAAATCCCTTTCTTGACCTTGTACATGCATTTTATTATAGCCTTTATAGTCAGTAACCTTGAAAGTATAACCTTGATTCCTTCTCTCCACCTCACCTCCACCTCTCTCATGAGCCCACTCTTACCTCTCTCCATCATGCCACTATTCTGCTTGTGCTAAGGTCTCAGTTTATAACTGGCAAAACCAAGAGACATCTTTCACACCTCCCTTTAGCATCTGACACAACCACCACAAATCCTCAAAATTTTCTACATTTCCTTCAAAGTTATTACTCTCTTATCTGTAAAATATTCCAGTTTCTATGTTCCTGGTTAAACAGACTTGTATATTATAAAGAGAATTTTTACAAAACTTTTAATGAAACCAAAAGTGTCCCACAGTTTGTGGTAACAAAACATTTAAAAAGTTATTAAATTTTACATTCTAAATTTGCTCACCTTTTTTTGGTGGGGGGCGGTACACAGAGGCAGAGAGAGAGAGAGAATCTTAAGCATGCTCCATGCCCAGTAATGAGCCCGAGGCAGGACTCAATCTCATTACCTCACAACCTTGAGGATCATGACCTGAGCCAAAAGCAAGAGTCGGATGCCCGACCGAACCGGGCACCAGGCTCACCTTCTCTTTGATGAAAAGTAGCTATATTACATTTTCTAGCAAATGTTAGAAAATATTTTCTTCAAGAGAAATATATTTTGACAACAAATATGAAAATGCTTTCTGAAAAAAAAGCTTTTTGAAACAGGAACTCATTTATATAGGAAGCATTTTGAAAAAAGTGATTACTGCCAAAAATATATTAATAAATTAGTAAAATTAGTAAAATTAATAAAATTAAAACACATATTAGAATACTTCAAAAAGTTGGAGAACAAATTTTTATCTCTTCTTAAATGTTTCAAAGAATTTCAGTAGGTTTTAAACCTGTTATAAACTTTTTTCATTTCCCTCCTAGTCCCCTGTTATAAACTTTCAAAAATAAACCTTCCAGTTAATTTGTAGGAGCAAATACCTGACAACAGGAAAGATGGCAATTACTAGCAGATTTCAAGAAGAACCTCTGAACTATTAGTAAACATAACTGAAAAAAATTTCATGTTAGTAAATAAAGCCAATGTTAACATCTCTTCCATTTGGAACCATGTATCTTTATGAGGCATCTTTTCAACTATGAAAGCTAATAAAATCAGATATTTAAATAACTATACACAATTCCTTTATTACTACATATATTAAATAATTATATTTCACCTATGAGACTGCAAACTAGTTAAAAGTGGAGACTTGTCTTCATCTTTGTAACCCAGAACTTTGACTAAGACATAGAGCAAATAGTTATGTAATAAATACTGTGAATAACCAAAAATATAAGCAAATACATTAAAAGGAAAATATGTACACAGATACATACATATATATATATGTAATAGTGTAATGTCTGGTTAGGTAAACAAAATGTTACCTAAAATGGGCTTGACCCAAATCACAATGTTTCCACACCAATTTAATGGTGTTTAATGGCTCAACTTGTAATTATGACTTCCTTTTTTTTTAATTATGACTTTCTTAATTAGCATATGTTCTCCTAAATGAAGATATCAGAGTTGCCCTATACAATACATGAGAATCTTTGCTTTCAAAGTGAATCATCAGTGATAAAATGAATATATAAAATCAACAAAGAGTAAAGCAAAACCAATAGAAGAACTTCTGTGACAAAACTATGAATAAATAACCCGGCACAAATGAAACAGTGAAAGTATTAAAAATTAGATTTTCAAAATAACAAATTAGAAATAAAACCCAAATAACAGTATATTTATTTTAGGACTCAGTTTATATACACTAATCTCATGAAGAATGTGATGGCTACTTAGCATAATTTTCACCATGGTATAAATTTTCCTTTCATGCTATATTAAACAAAATTTAACAATAAATTGTATAATTATTAATATAAATACTTCCCAATAATGAATTACACTCAGTCCTCTATGGTAGTTAAAGAAGCCCACATTACAATTTTATTTGAAAAAAATTTAGAAAAATAATATTCTATTAGCATCTTTAATTCTAATTGAATCTTTAAAATAGAAAAATAAAATAAAAGAGAACACAAAAGCTGTTCGCAAAAAACGAATTAGGATCCCGTGTGTGTGTGTGTGTGTGTGTGTATTCACTGATATAATAAATTGCTAAAGGTTACAGTAATTACTATACTAATTACATTCAGAGAAAAATTTTACCTTATAAAAGCTGAGATACAAAATGATTAAGTGAAACTTAAACTGAATTTTATGGATGATATCTACCAATCTTGTGTGCCCAAACGATATCTAGGGTTTTTTTTCCTAAACTGTATTGAAGGCAGTATGGAGCTAAAGAATATAAAATGTACAAAATGGAAGGTATGTTTAAAAAAAAAGTAGTACTTCTGTAGCAAATGGTATCACTATTTTTCTTTTTCAGAAACATTTTACATCCTGGAAAACTTTCTCCCTCATTCTCAAGTTTATAGTTATGTTAATAATGTAAGTGTGATGATATCTAAAAATGTATCCATGTCCTATTGATTGTACTCTAATAGTGCTTAAGAAGAAAAAAACAACTATACTACTTAAAAGATCAAATAAATAAATAAAACAAAACGAAATAAAATAAAATTTAAAAAGCCAAATTTAGAACCCACTGATACCTACCTCCTGGAAATGCCATTAGCCAAACATTTATGGCTACAGGATTTGGAGGATAGGGGTGATGAAGTTGGGGACAAGTTGAGAGGGGCAATCAAACTGTTGATGATCTCAGTCAACTGTGCACTCTGCAAAAAAACAATTAACCTTTACTACTGCTAAGCAAGAAATGTGAGTTAGATCTCACACCTTTAGTGAATGTTTATATTTTAGTAAATATTTTAACCTACAAAGATGATTTATACCACTACTAATTTTTCCACTTATTATAAATAAATCTGCATGTTAAAGTACTCCTCCATTTCTATACCCATTTTCATTACAGTTCCTTTATCTACTCATCCTATCCTCTTAAAACATTTGAATTTAGCTAAGAGCATCTACATGATATTTTCTTTAAGGCAGCCAAGTTAATAATAATAAAATCGTAGCTATAATTTACTACTATGTGCCAGGCACTACACAAAGCACTAAACACAGATTATTTCTAATCTTCATAACCAACCTACAAAGTAGTATTATTATTATTAAAATCAATTACAGCTAAGGAAATTGAAGCAAAAAATGATTAAGCAGCTTGAATAAGGATTATAAAGTTGGTAAGAAATGGAGCTAGGATTCAGATTCAGACTTGAATCCAATGCCACACTGTTTCTCAATATTTTTCCTAACTCAAAAATATCAGGTTTGTTTAGGGACTCAAAATTTTCATTGATCCTTATTTCAAACTTAAATATACAAAATATATTTGTAATACATAATAAATATTAAACTTATCAAATTATTCTCAAAACAACCTATAACAATTATAATAAACATAGGCCACATCAGTGGAAACAGTATGTTTCTACAAAAGAATGACAACTATTTTCATTACACACACAATCTATGTTTATTATAGAAAAAAGGGAAAGTACTGAAAGGCTTAAAAAAGGAAAAGAAAGTCATCTGTACTCATATTACACAGAGAAAAACCACTGTTAATATCTTGGTATATATCCATCCCTCTAGACTAAGTTTAGACTAAGTTTTTTGAGATGTGAGCATGAGTGTATACAAAATGCATATACACACACACACACTTTTAACTAAATATGTCACATCAATTTTCTAAAACCTGGTTTTCTCACTTAATAATGTATGATTTTATTTTTTTAAATATGTAGTACTATTTCACCATTTTTATTAATTGAAAGATAGTCCAATGAGGAGCAGTTTTGTTAGAAAAAAGATATTCCAATCCTAGTATAAATGAGTTATCATCCTATGGCTGTGTACCAGTATTTTATATATTTAAATAAAATAATCTTAATTATATCAATGTTATAAGACTCATCATATACTACATATTTTAATTGTATTTAATGTCAAATGGCAAACCTTAATAACTAATATCCCAAGCAGACGCACAGGTTTATTTGAATAGTATATAAAACTGATTAAAAGTCATTTCATGCCACTCACATCTTACTCTTCCATCACATTACCTGTTTTTCTATGTTGCGAAGAAGAAGTGTAGGGCTACTTGGTGACATTTCAAAATCTTGTTCTGGTAAAGGATCTTGACTCTCTTGGGGAATCTGGGGATTCCCTGTAGTATTTAATGAAGCCGCTTGGTCAGCAAATTGTATTTGTTTTTTCAAAATGTCTTTTGGAAGTTGACATTCTTCTAGGATCACTATCCCCTAGGCAAACAGCAATTAAAGAGTTGAAATGAAAACAAATTGACTGCTAAATCAACTTTAACGTTACAGTGCACCTGAAACCATGCTTCTTATTATCACCTGGAAATCAGAAAGTACACTTGAAAGTAGAGTCTAACTGTAAAAAATTGGCTAATTTAAAACATGTGTAGCTAAAACAACATCTATGTCTGATGGGTTAGGCTTGTAAACTATTGTCATAAATTGTATATATGCAGTTATTTTTCTTCTTACTGGTTTTAATTATTAGCAGTAAAAGCATGATACATTTAAAATAAAGGCTTATATGCAGAATATGAACATTTTACACTGAAATTTAGAACACCTCCTTATATAATCTTCAGATATTTTGGTCACTAGCATTTCCATTTGAATACTCCCAGTTTCATAAATTAAAATGCCAAACTTACAAACATCCAAACAACATTCTGACTTTATACTAAACTGCTTTCAGAGCACTCTTAGGAGTTCCAGCTCTGTTGCTGCCAGCCAGCAACCATGGGCAGGACTGCACTATTGAGAAGTATTCTCTAGGCCGGTTAAATTGTTGCTTACAAGGTAGATGAGTTAATAATAAAGACACAAGTTTTCAACTGTGAGGGGGTATTTTCTCAAATGTAAATAACTAGAGGAAAGAGTAGGGATCTAGCTGCCTCTGTTCTCCCTACCATTCACACACACACACACACACACACACACACACACACACACTCTCTCTCTCTCTCTCTCTCTCTCTCTCTCTCACAACTGGCTTGCTAAATATTCTCCCATATTCCCCAGAGTCTTCACTCCAACTGTTCTTACCGTTATGCCCCTCAAGGGCAAAGAAGACAGAAGAGAAAAAAGGAAAAATAATGCACAGATATGATCTTAATAGTTTCATTATCAGTTCTTACAGTAAAACTTTTTTCCCTCCCTACCCCTTCTACCACTTTTCCCCCTGCAAAGAATTATATGCATTTTCATATAATGTATAATGTATATGTGTGTGTGTATATATATATGGTTATTTTGTAAAATGTCAATAAGCTCCTAATAGGCTAGTTGGAAAGGTATTAAATACCTATGTGGCTAAAATATTATATTCTTGTAATGAAAAATAGAATGTTTTAGTCTATTTTTCATTACAAGTGTAGAGTATTTTAAGATGGGACAAATTTAAAAACTGGTACGGGCCAGCTTATATCAGATACAAGTGCTATTTATAGGATGGAAACTGCCTATAAACTATAATGTTATAGATGAGTAGTTTGTTTGTTTTTAAGATTTTATTTACTTATTTGACAGAGAGCAAGACAGCGAGAGAGGAACACAAGCAGGGGGAGTGGGAGAGGGAGAAGCAGGCTTCCCGCCAAGCAGGGAGCCTGATGCGGGGCTCGATCCCAGGACCCTGGGACCATGACCTGAGCCGAAGGCAGATGCTTAACGACTGAGCCACCCAGGCGCCCCTGGATGAGTAGTTTTAATTTACACTATAATTTAGAGAATATATCACTTTAGCATGAACATATTCAGGTATGGCATCAAACACACATTATTATTTTGTAGTAATATATTACCACCGATGTGTGGTAAAAGCAACAAAAAAGTTATTGTTGTTATAATTTTAACCTTCACTTATAACTGTGCTAGTAACTTTTACAAAAAGAAGGAGATCCAATTGTTGATCCCATCTCAATGACTATTTTCCTAGAATGCACAAATATGGCTGTCAGGAAATCTAAAGAAATATATTTTTAAAAAATTTTTGTTTCATTTGATATTTTAAAACTTAAAGTAGACTTGGGGCATCTGGGTGGCGTAGTCGTTAAGCGTATGACTCTTGGTTTCGGCTCAGGTCATGATCTCAGGGTCATGAGATCAAGTCCCATGTCCGGCTCTGCTTAAGACTCTTTCTTCTTCTCCCTCTGCCCCTCCCACCTATGCTCTCTCTCTCTCAAATAAATAAATATTTTTAAAAAGTTAAAGTAGACTTGATGGATATAATATCATCAATCTCAAAAGCTCTTGGAAGTATCTGAAATGTCCATTCAAAATGTGTACAAGTATCTCACTAGACTTTTCAACAGTATCTGCTTGCAAAATAAATACAAGTTTTCATCATATCAATTTAGCTATAATTCCCTTTGGTTTGATTATTTTATTTTATGGGCCAGGCTGCTATGAATTCTGCCTGGTTTCATAACCCTTACTAATAATCTTGTACATACCGAAAAACTGATTCTGAATTTCAAAAGGTCAATTTTCAAACCTTCAGACTACTATCTTTTTTAGAAGTAGGAGACCTGCTACAGTTAGTTCAATGAAAAGTAATATTTTAAAAACTGAACCAGGAAGACATTCATAATCAAGTTCATAATCTATTATTTTCTCCTTAAACTCTCACAAATGGCCAAGAATAGAGTAAAAAGGGAAAAAGATTAAACCCTTTAAAGACACTACAGAGACAGTTTCAGTTCTTAAAAATCAAGAAAAGAATATATGTGTGTTGGGTCACCATGATGTACACTTAAACATCTTACAATTTTGTCAGTCATACCTGAATAAAGCTGAATTAAAAAAAAGAACACAACTCAGGAAGAATAGCCTATTCATAAACAAGGTAAACAACAAAGACATGAAAATTTTTTAGTAAGATGAGTTTCAATAACTGAGACAAATGAAAACTCTAGCATAAGATGAAAGCAAGTCAACTGCTCCAGAGAAGACAACTGTTCCTGATAATAACACTAAAGAGATCCTTATCCCACTCCCAGGGTCCTCACAGAGAAGACACAGCATAAAAAAATAAACAATTACCTCAGCAACACCTTCAGTATTTATATAAAGTCACCAAAGCTAATTTTTTTAAAAAATTTAAATGCAAGACGCCTGGGTGGCTCAGTCAGTTAAGAGTCTGCCTTTGGCTCAGGTCATGATGCAAGGGTTCTGGAACAGGCTCCTTGCTCAGCAGGGAGCCTGCTTCTCCTTCTGCCTGCCACTACCCCCCACCCCTGCTTGTGCTCACACACTCTCTCTCTCTGGTAAATAAATAAAATCTTTTTCAAAAAAGTATCAAATCTTAAATTTTAAATGCACAAAATTACAATTTGAAATGTAGAAGACCCTATCACAAGGTAACAAAAGAAATCTAAAAGAGAAACCATTTAATATAGGATAGCCAGCTTCTCAAGCAAAAAAAACTATTTTAATATTTTTCTGAAAGTGACAAGAGGCTATATTTTCTTAGTGAAAACTGAAGCAAAGAAAAGGAGAAACATTGAAGTTGTAATATGTTGACAAAGCATTGGAAGAACAAGGAAGGAATGTTGTTAACATGGGCTTTCTTTTCTCTAAAAATTTTAGCAAAAGTTAGATGACCCCAATATGTCATAGAAGGAGCAAATGACAGCTTAAAAACCCAAAACGTGTAGATCTACTAGTAGATCGACTCAGTGTTTCCTGACCAGTGTTACCAACTAGCACTTATTTAAACAGGATATTTACAAAAGAACATCTCTCAACCTCGTTCCCTTTCCCGTATCTCTAATTTAACTGAGAAGAAAGGATTTTTTTTTAACTTTTAAGATAAGTTAAATAGAAAGGTCATTCAAGATAATGTTAACTACACTTCTCAATTTTTTAATTACAATAACTCAAGAAGCTATAAGAGAAAAGAAAGTGCTATTTTCTCTCTTCAGTATAGTAGTTCAACTAACCTGCACATAAATAAGCAATTAAACATCTTGATTAATTCCCAAGAAATGTAAGGACAAACTACTAAAATAAAGAAATACTGTAATGACATTTTCCATAAAGTAAACATAATGTGATTCTTAAGAAAACAGAGGCCCAGATACACATCTAGCCTGAACCAAGAAAAACGTAAGGCCATATAAATTATTACTGGGAAGTTTAGATTTCTTTCCTAAAAATAATTTATTCCCCAGATGTTATATAAACATCCAAATTTTTTAAAATGTTTTAAAAAAGTATATTGCAGTGTTTAGAACACACAAGTCATAAAATACAAAGCAGACTGTGTAGATTCAAGTATAAAACTTAGTCATCAATTTAACTAGGAATCCACTTTCCTGGAAATTTCCGAATTGTTTTAAACTTAACTTGTTTTGAGAAGTCTACTATTAAAAACGCTGTGGTATTATATCCTTTAAAGTAAATGATCAGAGAGGAGAAATTACCTGATGATCCTGAAAGAACTAGGAAATCACTACAACTAAAGGCTTCAGTGAAGACAGTTAAAAATGAGAAACAGTAACTACTTCCATCAGGAAATTATTCTTGAACAGAGTTCCCTCAAATCCAACAGACAGAACCGGTAAGCCTAAGGTTTTATGTCTATCCTTCTATCCACCTTCCTACAGGCATCACCACCAAATTCTACAATTCATTCCTTCCTAGTTTCCTCTCCCCATCCTTACAAAATTCATACTTTCCACTCCTTTGAATACCATTCTACTTTGTCATTCCCAAAACATATTATGTTGTTTCATGTCTTCAAACCTTCAAGGAATGCCCTTTTCCAGTTCCATTGGTTCATCAACAAACTATTTATCTTCCAAAATTATACTGAGGCATCACCTCTTTTACTGATGTCTTCTCTGACCTGCTAATCCCTAAAATAAGAGTTATGTATTCTCTCTATGCCACTTCTATATCTTATTAAAAACATGTTATCATTGCACCTATTTCATTATATTACAATTAATAATTTACATGGTCTATCTCCCCTACCAGAATATAAACTCATGACTGTGCCTAAAACTTATCTTTATTTATGTGCAGATCCTAGGTAATGTTGGGCTAACCACATGGATAACCATATGATTAAGAATTCTGATTCCTTTCCTTCTCAGCTTTTTCTTTTCAGACCAATCACCATCAACCTTAGAATATTATCTCCATTATGTCCACAGTTTCATGATATAGAATATACTTTTTCATAAAAACAAAGTTACAAAAAGATCTTTAGTAATATTTAAATTAAATAGTATTTCATGGGATTGTAATGAGAACTCTTTATAGTATTGCTTCAATAGGAAAATGTACTTTGAGTTCCAAGCAAACAGCCTATAATTTTGGGGAAACAGTTATATCTTTAACCTAGGAAAATCCCATGTTAAATTTCCGGTTTAATTCTGGTTGGAATTAAAACAATATTTATTTGTGTAATCATTTGCTTACTTTCACTCCCATTTGACTTAAGCCCTAAAAATGTAGCAACTCTGTGGGTTTTGTTCACCACTGTATACCTTAAGCACATATTATGCTAACAACTATATGTGAAAGGAAAAATGGGAAAGAGTGAAGGAAAGGAGGAGGGAAGGCAGAAAATAAGACAGGAAGGAGAGACAAATGAATTTTATTTAAAAACTGCTACAATATAATAACATAACTTTTTAACTGCCATTTCTACTGAATAACTCCAAACCTCTACCTTCTTATAAACCTGCCTTCTCCAATAACTCTTACTTTTAACTTTTTAGAGCATCTCAATATGAGTATCTGATAGAACTTTTAAGTCAGTGAGAAAGCTTATTTTTATCAACTTTCCTATAAAATAAGCACTTTTTTCCTTCTATAGAAACAGCAGGTAAATAAGAGGAGAGATAGTGGTGATGTTTACACAACCATATATTTGTCAAAATTCAGTGAATTGCTAAAAATACGTCTTCTGAGAACAAGATAAACAAAATAAAGATAAATCCATAATTAGACCTATTAGTAAAAAAAATGTAGAACATCAAATAAACAAAAATAATTTTTTAAGTTACCAGACAGAAAAGACAAAGTACTTACAAAGGGAAAGCAATTCTACTGACAGTAGACTGCTCATCAGTATTAAACAAAACAATGAAATAGGATCTTTAAAAGGCAAAATAACCATCAAATTAGAATTTTATATCAACCTAAAGTATCACTGAAGAGTGAGGGTAAAATAAAGGTATTTTGAGACATAAACTACTAAAAAATGTATTTCAGCAAAATGTAAACCAAGAGAGAAAAGGTAGTGTAGAGGAGACTGCAAACTTCCCAATACCCACTTTCCTCTTCTTTTTACAACAAAACTCCACTCCTACTGGAGTTCTAGCTATGCATACAACTTCTCATTGTAAGGCTGTATTATTCACCTCTCCTTTCTGCAGATATGTGCCTAAATTTGGGTCAATGAGTGTGACACAAAGTAGTACAATTTCCAAGTCACCTCCCACCTAAAGACAAACTATGTTACACTTTTCTCCCTTCCCAGGGGCCGGAATGAGGGAATGACTACAACCCTGTTTAATAGTGCAGTCAACAATTACCCTAGAGGACAACAAAGCAGCAAAAGAGAAAAAAACAAGTTGCTCCACCAGCCTGTATTCACTCCCTCACTTTTGAAGTGTTATGTACCTTAATAAAGTGGCAATATTTGGGAGTTTCTTTGTTATAGCAGCTTAACCTGTAAACTAACTTTATAGGTAGAACACAAGAACAGTAAGCACATTTTTTTTTAAAGATTTTATATATTTATTTGAGAAAGAGAGAACGAGCGGTGGGGAGGGAAAGAGGGGGAGAGAGAGAGAGAAGCAGACTCCCCACTGAGCAGGGAGCTTGGATGCGGGGCTAGATCCCAGGACCCCAGGATCATGACCTGAGCCAAAGGAAGATGTATGACTGAGCCACCCAGGCATCCCAGTAAGCACATTTTTAATAAAATTAGTTAGAAATATAATTATTGACTATAAAAAAAGGAACTAGATTGTAGTAGATCTATTCAATGAGTAGTTAGAAAGTATTAGAATCCATGTTTTAAGTAAAAAAGTATAGAAATACTGAGTACTTTTTAGTCATTGTTAGGATTACTTTTAATTAAGAAGTATATTAAAAGTTAGGAGTAACGACAAAGAATAAAACTACAATGAATAGCTACTAAACCAGCAGAGGGAAAAGAACGAAGCAAATTCTACCAATCCAACAAGAGAGGTAAAAAAACAAGACTTATGGGGTGCCTGGGTGGCTCAGTTTGTTAAGCATCTGCCTTCAGCTCAGGTCACAATCCCAGGGTCCTGGGATTGAGCCCCACATCGGGCTCCCTGCTCAGCGGGGAGCCTGCTTCTCCCTCCCCCTCTGCCGCTCCCCCTGTTTGTGCTCTCTCTCTCTGTCAAATAAATAAATAAAATCTTAAAAAAAAAAAAGACATAAATACAAAGAGAGGAGAATAAGGGCAAATAAAAAATAATCAGAGGTGATTTTTTTATCTAGCTATTTAGTTTATAAAAAGAAATACCTACAATAAAAAACTTGTATCTATTAAAGAGCAATCCTTCAAAAAGTAATTAGCAAAAACTAACAGAATTACCAGAAAAAACTGAAAAATTCACAATGATGGGGGAAATTTTAACAAATGTATATCATAAATGGAAAGATCTAGAGGTATAAACATATAACAGATATATATAATAAAGTCAACAAATCTAATAAACAAAGAATTCTATACTGAACACATAAAGAACATACATTCTCTTCTGTTACATATACTAAAATAATGAAAAGGCAAGCTACAACATGAGAGATTTGTAACATTTGTAACTGACCAAGAATAGTCTCCAAAATTTAAAAAGAATTCACAGACACACATCTCCACCAGCCATAGCCCTTTCCCCACCCCACCAAAAACAGTAAATACAAAAGCTAGTTAATTCTTAGGCAAAAAACATTTGGTGATCAATTATGCCGAGGCCCAATTCTCAATACTAAGGAACAATTAAATTAAAACAATAATAAAATAATACTTCATACTCATTACACTGGAAAATTAAAAGGTCAAAAATTATGAAATGTTGGCAAGAATGTGGAAAAACAGGAGTTCTCATGCACTGCCAATGGGAATATTAACTATCCAATCACATCAGTAAGTATAGGAAAGCTGAAGACAGCCAGGCCTAAGATCCATCATTTCCACTTTTAGGCATATACCAAGAACTCTCCATGGGGTGCCTGCCTGGCTTAGTGGGTACAGCAAACAACTCTTGATCTCAGGGTCATGAGTTCAGGCCCCACATGGGGCGTGGAGCCTATTTAATTAAAAAAAATTATACTCCAATTAAAAAAAAATAATCTCCACAGTTCACAAAGAAACACAAAAAAGATAGTCATTACAGTATTGTTTTTACTAGCATAAAACTAAACAGTGTATGTCTACCAGTAGAAAAGAGAAGAGATAAACATTGCATTGTATTCATACAATTCCATCTCATTCATACAATTAAATAACATACAGGACCTATAAAATTTATGCTGAGCAAAAGCAAGGAAGTCACAAAAGAGTTTGTAGTATATATGTCATTAATACAGACTGTAAAATCATGAAAAAATAAATACTAGTTGTAGACACAGACAGACATCTATGTGCCAAGAGTATAACAACATACATAAATATAATAAATATCAAAACATGCTGGAATCAAAATAGTGGCTACAGTGGCATGCAGAAAGAGAATGGGATCAGAAGGATTATATAAGTGCCTCAACTGTACAGATACCTTATTACTCTAAAACCTAAACCCAAATAGTAAAAATTTAACACTTGATAAATTTGGAGGTGGAAACAAAGGTGTTCATTATATTGCTTTCTAGAGCTTATGTGTTTATAATTTTTCTTAAAACAAAATCTCTAAGGGGATTCAATAAAATACACTCAGAATTTCTCACATATGTTAAAATAAATGCCATCGAAGTAGAAGTTTATAAAAGGGTACCTAATTTCTATTAATTGGAATCCAATGAAGAAGCTCTGAACCCCTCAAGTATGATAAAATGACCATGATAAATACAAAGACATTACAATGACAGCTTCAATTTACAGCAATCGATATATAAAAAATGTTAATATTAACTACATTTTTATAAAGCCTTGTAACAATTACTTTGTGTGGAGAGATGAGAAACTAAAACTGTAATAATTTTTTAAAAAATACAAGAATACAAACAATACCTTGGATGCACGAATCTGCCTGTGAACATCCGTTAGTTGTTGGATTTTGTATTCGAGCTCTGAAATCTGGGCTTGAAGCCACGTCCATCTGCTGCCAACTCTAGCTCTGTCTACAAGCCACTTCCATTCAGTACTACAGTCACTGTGAACGAGACAAACATTGTTAGTCAAAGAACAAAGGCAATCAAGTTTTCACAGACTACTTAATAAACTCCTTGACTCCTGTCATATAATCCTAATTCCTTTATACAACATCTAATTATATGAAAGAAGAATCTGATATCAACTCTTATCAAAGAAAAACATTTAACTTCCTTATCTTTCTAACGGATAAACATTTGTTTTTATTATTACATATCCAGTAATAAGGTAATCTCCTCTGCTACTTAACATTTTATTAATACGCACAAGGGCTGAAATAGGAGTGGGCCAGCAAAGAAACAGGAATGATACTACTAACTCCACGTAAAAACTGTTACATGAAGCTTCTATATGTAAGTCATTTGAACTGTGCTAGATCTAAATCTATGTAATAAACCAGAATACTCAATTTTATTATATGCAAATTTTCATTTGTTAAAACAGTAGTCACTGTTAGCTAATTAAATCCCTAAAATCAATTTAAATATATTGTCAAAAAATATCAAAAATATGAGTGCTCTACCTTTCAAAGAAGTATAACAAATGTATGTCTTGAAATGTTTATTAAGATAAATAGCTTGTTAAAACCTGATTTCCAGGGGCGCCTGGGTGGCTCAGTTTGTTACAAGTCTGCCTTCGGCTCAGGTAGTAATCCCGGTATCCTGGGATCAAGCCCCACATCGGGCTCCTGATCATCGGGGAGCCAGCCTGTCCCTCTGCCTTGCTCGTGCTCTCTCTCCCTCTCTCTCAAATAAATAAATAAAATCTTCAAAAAAAAAAAAGGGGGGGTGATGCCTGGGTGGCTCAGTCGTTAAGCGTCTGCCTTTGGCTCAGATCAAGATCCCAGGGTCCTGGGGTCGAGTCCCACATAGGGAATCCTTGCTCAGCAGGGAGCCTGCTTCTCCCTCTGCCTGCCACTCCCCCTGCTTGTGCTCTCTCTCTCTGACAAGTTAAAAAAAAATAATTAAAAAAAAAACCTGATTCCCAGGATTCACAGCCCAAAGATAGAAAGAATTTATATAAAGACTTTTCTGTCATGCATATTTGAAAATAAGGGTTGAACCCTACTCCTCTATCTTTTGGCAAGGGTACCACTCTAATCCATAGTTTGTGAGATTACAAATTAATTATTTATGAAAATATTCTAACCATTCCAACTAGAAAACAGTTATTTGAAATAACTAATTAAGAGCTTCAAATTACAAAAGAAAACATGACAGAAACTGAAGGTATAAATGAAAACCAATAAATACTTAATGGCAGAACACAAACTTTATGAAAAACTTGTCTAAACATTACATTTACTGTCAAAACCCATAGAATGTACAACACCAAGAGTGAATCCTCACGTAAAGCATGCACTTTAAGTGATAACAGTTTGTCAGTGTAGGTTCATAGATTGTTACAAATGCACTACTCTAGTATGCAGTATATTGATAGTGGAGGAGGTTCTATCAGTGAAGGGGGTATATGGGAACTCTGCATTTTCTGCTTAATTTTGCTATGAACCTAAAATTGTTCTTAATAAAAAGTTTATTAATTTTACACATTTAACCATAATTGAATGTCTCCCATACAAACTTTAGCTAGAGAAAACTTATCCTAAAAGGTAATTTACTGGGGTGCCTGGCTGGCTCAGTTGGTAAAGCATGTGATTCTTGATCTTGAGGTTGTGAGTTTGAGCCCCACATTGGTGTGGAGATTACTTAAAAATAATTTTTTTTTAAATAAAATAAATAAAAATAAAAAAATAAAAGATCATTTGTTGTGATGAGCACTGGGTATTGTGCTGAATCACTAAACTGCACACCTGAAATAAATAATACACTGTACGTTAACTAACTGGAATTTAAATAAAAACTTACAAAAATAAAATAAAAGATCACTTGTTAGAAAAACAGAATTACTATAACTTTACTATATAGAATATATTCATTGTAATAGGATTTTACATTAAATCAATGTCCCTAAGAGCTATTTTTGTTTGTTTGTTTGTTTTAATATATTATTTATCCATTTGAGAGAGCATGAGCGGGGGTGGGGGGTAGCAGAGGGAGAGGGAGAAGCAGACTACCTGAGCAGGGAGCCCCATGTGGGACTTGATCCCAGGACCCTAGGATCATGATCCGAGGAGAAGGCAGACGCATAACCAACTGAGCCACCCAGGTACCCCAAGAGATACTTTTGTTAAGATTCTAATTGCACACAATATGATTGAGGAGACCTTCATACAAGTTAAGAATTCTCTTATTATTACTATGTATTCAGTTTATAGTCATTATTGTGCTTTTTAAATTTGACACACTTTTAAATCATATTTTCATAGTTATGAAAATAATAGAAGAGAATGTCTATTCAAAATAATATTAAAATGGAGGGGCACCTGGCCAGCTCAGTCAGAGGAGCATGCAACTCTTGATCTCAGGTTTTGACTTCAAGGTCCACGCTGTGTGTAGAGATTACATAAATAAATAAACAAACTTCAAAAAAATAATATTAGCTCTTCCCTTCTGTGGCCACTGTTGAAATGCCAGCAGCCAAAATGAAGTTCAATCCCTTTGTGACTTCTGACAGGACCAAGAGGCATTTCAATGCATCTTCCCACATTTGCAGGAAGATTATGTCTTCCCCTCTTCCCAAAACGCTGAGACAGAAATACAATATTTGATCCATGCCCACCCAAAAGGATGAAGTAAAGGCTGTGTGAGGACACTACAAAGGTCAGCAAATGGGCAAAGTAGTCCAGGTTTACAGGAAGAAATATGTCATCTACATTGAATAAGTATAACAAGAAGGCAAACGGCACAACTGTCCAAGTGGGCACTCACCCTAGCAAGGTGGTTATCACTAAACTAAAACTGGACAAAGACCACAAAAAGATCCTTGAACATACAGCCAAATCTCACCAAGTAGGAAAGGAAAAGGGCAAATACAAGGAAGAAACAATTGAGAAGATGCAGGAATAAAGTAATCTTATATACAACTTTAAATAAAAACTGTTAAGTGGCTGGGTGGCTCAGTTGGCTAAGCATCTGCTTTCGGCTCAGGTCATGATCCCAGGGTCCTAGGATCAAGCCCTGTGTTGGGCTCCCTGCTCAGCAAGGGGTCTGCTTCTCCTGCTCCCTCTGCCCCCACCTCACCCCAGTGCACACATTCTCTCTCTCAAATAAATAAAATCTTTAAAGAAATACTGTTAAAATGAAAAAATATTAAAATAGTAATATCCATTCTTCATAGATAATATTTAATAACACTAACTGCCAATCATGAAATTAGTGATAAAGGCAAGGGCCATGGCACATAGCAGTTGTACAGGTTAATGGTAAAGTGTTGGATTTTATGCAAAAAGGAAGTCTTTTTTTTATTTTTTTAAAGATTCCATTCATTTATTTCAGAGAGAGCATAAGTAGGGGGAGCGGCAGGCAGGCAGAGGGAGAGGGAGAAGCAGGCTCCCCGGTGAGCACGGAGCCTGACTGGGGGCTCGATCCGAGGACCCCAGGATCATGACCTGAGCCGAAGGCAGCCGCCCAACCAAATGAGCCACCCAGGCGTCCCAAAAAGGAAGTTATTATCAAGACATTAACAAAAAATTTTTTCCCAAGCACTCTGGCTACTAGATAGAGAAAGCATTATAGTGGGATATAAGAAGAAATAAGGAAATCAATTAGGATGCAAATAGAGTAATCTGTGTGTGGTACAGATAACTGTGATCTCCAAATACGTCATGTGCTATCCTATATTTCCCAGCCTTCCTTGCACTGAGGTTGGAGCTATGTGACTAATTCTGACCAATGGGTTGTTAGCAAAAGTGACCTAGTCATTTCCAGTCCATCAGACAACCTGAAAAGCCACTAGTGTAGACAGTGTAGCTACAAGATGTGTGGGGACCACAGCCCCAAACCACACTGGCTTTTATGTAAGCCACAGCAAACCTTGGCTCGTTAAACCATTGAGATTAGAAGGTTAATTTGTTACTCTAGAGCCCAATCTGACTAAAACACTGAATAAAAAATGAAAATGGCATGAACTAAGAAGGGAGGGTAAGTTAAAGAAGAGATGAAGATAAGAGGATGGGTTCAAGGTTCACTTTAAAGCTGAAAGGACTTGGCAGAAGTATGGTGTGGGAATAAGTATGGGGAAATCAAAGATGATCTTAAACATTCTTTCATTAAATTCTGTTCCAGTTGAAAACTTTCCCTATAATATGCAATTTTGCTTGATGGTCAAACCTCATGATTAGCTAAAAAACAAAAAAAAAAGTTATGGAGCTCATCTTATTGTACTTCTAGTAAAAATATTCTGATAGTGAAATTGTCCACAAAAATGATTTTCATGTTCATATAGTATATTAAATTATACTATCACAGGGAAAAAAAAAGTAATATCAGATTAGATTTAAATAAACTAAGTAATCCGAGGGCTTTGTAATATTTGAAATATTTTCTGTAAAGGATACCTTATCCTATATTTTAATAGGACTGAATAAAATCTGTTTGCATATTCCGTCAGTTCACATCCTTGCTTGTTTGTAGTCACCACTTAACATGCTGAATAAAGTAAGTACAGGCTATTTAGATCAAGTGGTTTTAAGTACAATTTCTCTTGATACTAACTTCTGGTCAACATCATGAACCTACATCCCTGCTTTAACCCTGAAATACAGTTCCCAAAATAAGATAGAGCTTTCTAATATTACATCTTAAAACAGCAAGATTAAAGAGAGACATATTAATTTTGCCTTTAATATAAAGATCAACTTACTAGTAATAATGAATCAACTATTATAAAAAAAATAAAAAAAGAAGATCCAATTGTGAAAAATGACAATCCCAAGGAAAGCCCATGAAAAATATAAGGTTTGGGGGTGCCTGGGTGGCTCAGGTATGGTCCCAGGGTCCTGGGATCGAGCACCGCATCAGGCTCCCTGCTCAGTGGGGAGCCTGCTTCTCCCTCTCCCACTCCCCCTGCTTGTGTTCCCTCTCGCTGTGTCTGTCAAATAAA